ATAATGTGGCAGTTATAAGGCGTTATATCAGTTCAGACATGTATAGATAATGTGGCAGTTATAAGGCGTTATATCAGTTCAGACATGTATAGACAATGTGGCAGTTATAAGGCGTTATATCAGTTCAGACATGTATAGACAATGTGGCAGTTATAAGGCGTTATATCAGTTCAGTTCAGACATGTATAGACAATGTGGCAGTTATAAGGCGTTATATCAGTTCAGACATGTATAGACAATGTGGCAGTTATAAGGCGCTATATCAGTTCAGACATGTATAGACAATGTGGCAGTTATAAGGCGTTATATCAGTGTAAGACATGTATAGATAGACAATGTGGCAGTTATAAGGCGCTATATCAGTTCAGACATGTATAGATAATGTAATGTGGCAGTTATAAGGCGCTATATCAGTTCAGACATGTATAGACAATGTGGCAGTTATAAGGCGCTATATCAGTTCAGACATGTATAGATAATGTGGCAGTTATAAGGCGTTATATCAGTTCAGACATGTATAGATAATGTGGCAGTTATATAGGCGCTATATCAGTTATAGACATCAGTATAGACATGTATAGATAATGTGGCAGTTATAAGGCGTTATATCAGTTCAGGCGTTATATCAGTTCAGACATGTATAGATAATGTGGCAGTTATAAGGCGTTATATCAGTTCAGACATGTATAGATAATGTGGCAGTTATAAGGCGCTATATCAGTTCAGACATGTATAGACAATGTGGCAGTTATAAGGCGTTATATCAGTTCAGACATGTATAGATAATGTGGCAGTTATAAGGCGCTATATCAGTTCAGACATGTATAGACAATGTGGCAGTTATAAGGCGCTATATCAGTTCAGACATGTATAGATAATGTGGCAGTTATAAGGCGCTATATCAGTTCAGACATGTATAGATAATGTGGCAGTTATAAGGCGTTATATCAGTTCAGACATGTATAGATAATGTGGCAGTTATAAGGCGTTATATCAGTTAAGACATGTATAGACAATGTGGCAGTTATAAGGCGTTATATCAGTTCAGACATGTATAGATAATGTGGCAGTTATAAGGCGCTATATCAGTTCAGACATGTATAGATAATGTGGCAGTTATAAGGCGTTATATCAGTTCAGACATGTATAGACAATGTGGCAGTTATAAGGCGTTATATCAGTTCAGACATGTATAGACAATGTGGCAGTTATAAGGCGTTATATCAGTTCAGACATGTATAGATAATGTGGCAGTTATAAGGCGTTATATCAGTTCAGACATGTATAGACAATGTGGCAGTTATAAGGCGCTATATCAGTTCAGACATGTATAGATAATGTGGCAGTTATAAGGCGCTATATCAGTTCAGACATGTATAGATAATGTGGCAGTTATAAGGCGTTATATCAGTTCAGACATGTATAGACAATGTGGCAGTTATAAGGCGTTATATCAGTTCAGACATGTATAGACAATGTGGCAGTTATAAGGCGTTATATCAGTTCAGACATGTATAGACAATGTGGCAGTTATAAGGCGCTATATCAGTTCAGACATGTATAGACAATGTGGCAGTTATAAGGCGCTATATCAGTTCAGACATGTATAGATAATGTGGCAGTTATAAGGCGTTATATCAGTGAAGACATGTATAGACAATGTGGCAGTTATAAGGCGCTATATCAGTTCAGACATGTATAGATAATGTGGCAGTTATAAGGCGCTATATCAGTTCAGACATGTATAGATAATGTGGCAGTTATAAGGCGCTATATCAGTTCAGACATGTATAGACAATGTGGCAGTTATAAGGCGCTATATCAGTTCAGACATGTATAGATAATGTGGCAGTTATAAGGCGCTATATCAGTTCAGACATGTATAGATAATGTGGCAGTTATAAGGCGCTATATCAGTTCAGACATGTATAGATAATGTGGCAGTTATAAGGCGTTATATCAGTTCAGACATGTATAGACAATGTGGCAGTTATAAGGCGCTTATATCAGTTCAGTTATAAGGCACATGTATAGATAATGTGGCAGTTATAAGGCGTTATATCAGTTCAGACATGTATAGATAATGTGGCAGTTATAAGGCGTTATATCAGTTCAGACATGTATAGACAATGTGGCAGTTATAAGGCGTTATATCAGTTCAGACATGTATATAGACAATGTGGCAGTTATAAGGCGTTATATCAGTTAAGACATGTATAGACAATGTGGCAGTTATAAGGCGTTATATCAGTTCAGACATGTATAGATAATGTGGCAGTTATAAGGCGCTATATCAGTTCAGACATGTATAGATAATGTGGCAGTTATAAGGCGTTATATCAGTTCAGACATGTATAGATAATGTGGCAGTTATAAGGCGCTATATCAGTTCAGACATGTATAGATAATGTGGCAGTTATAAGGCGTTATATCAGTTCAGACATGTAGTATAGATAATGTGGCAGTTATAAGGCGTTATATCAGTTCAGACATGTATAGACAATGTGGCAGTTATAAGGCGTTATATCAGTTCAGACATGTATAGATAATGTGGCAGTTATAAGGCGTTATATCAGTTCAGACATGTATAGACAATGTGTGGCAGTTATAAGGCGTTATATCAGTTCAGACATGTATAGACAATGTGGCAGTTATAAGGCGTTATATCAGTTCAGACATGTATAGATAATGTGGCAGTTATAAGGCGTTATATCAGTTCAGACATGTATAGATAATGTGACAGTGTATTATAAGGCGTTATATCAGTTCAGACATGTATAGACAATGTGGCAGTTATAAGGCGTTATATCAGTTCAGACATGTATAGATAATGTGGCAGTTATAAGGCGTTATATCAGTTCAGACATGTATAGATAATGTGGCAGTTATAAGGCGTTATATCAGTTCAGACATGTATAGACAATGTGGCAGTTATAAGGCGTTATATCAGTTCAGACATGTATAGATAATGTGGCAGTTATAAGGCGTTATATCAGTTCAGACATGTATAGATAATGTGGCAGTTATAAGGCGCTATATCAGTTCAGACATGTATAGACAATGTGATAGTTATAAGGCGCTATATCAGTTCAGACATGTATAGATAATGTGGCAGTTATAAGGCGTTATATCAGTTCAGACATGTATAGATAATGTGGCAGTTATAAGGCGTTATATCATCAGTTCAGACATGTATAGATAATGTGGCAGTTATAAGGCGTTATATCAGTTCAGACATGTATAGACAATGTGGCAGTTATAAGGCGCTATATCAGTTCAGACATGTATAGATAATGTGGCAGTTATAAGGCGCTATATCAGTTCAGACATGTATAGATAATGTGGCAGTTATAAGGCGCTATATCAGTTCAGACATGTATAGACAATGTGGCAGTTATAAGGCGTTATATCAGTTCAGACATGTATAGATAATGTGGCAGTTATAAGGCGTTATATCAGTTCAGACATGTATAGATAATGTGGCAGTTATAAGGCGCTATATCAGTTCAGACATGTATAGACAATGTGGCAGTTATAAGGCGTTATATCAGTTCAGACATGTATAGACAATGTGGCAGTTATAAGGCGCTATATCAGTTCAGACATGTATAGACAATGTGGCAGTTATAAGGCGCTATATCAGTTCAGACATGTATAGATAATGTGGCAGTTATAAGGCGTTATATCAGTTCAGACATGTATAGATAATGTGGCAGTTATAATGGGCGTTATATCGTTATATCAGTTCAGACATGTATAGATAATGTGGCAGTTATAAGGCGTTATATCAGTTCAGACATGTATAGACAATGTGGCAGTTATAAGGCGTTATATCAGTTCAGACATGTATAGATAATGTGGCAGTTATAAGGCGTTATATCAGTTCAGACATGTATAGATAATGTGGCAGTTATAAGGCGCTTATATCAGTTCAGACATGTATAGATAATGTGGCAGTTATAAGGCGTTATATCAGTTCAGACATGTATAGACAATGTGGCAGTTATAAGGCGCTATATCAGTTCAGACATGTATAGACAATGTGGCAGTTATAAGGCGCTATATCAGTTCAGACATGTATAGACAATGTGGCAGTTATAAGGCGCTATATCAGTTCAGACATGTATAATGATAATGTGTTCAGACATGTATAGAAATGTGCAGTTATATCAGTTCAGTTCAGACATGTATAGACAATGTGGCAGTTATAAGGCGTTATATCAGTTCAGACATGTATAGACAATGTGGCAGTTATAAGGCGTTATATCAGTTCAGACATGTATAGACAATGTGGCAGTTATAAGGCGTTATATCAGTTCAGACATGTATAGACAATGTGGCAGTTATAAGGCGCTATATCAGTTCAGACATGTATAGACAATGTGGCAGTTATAAGGCGCTATATCAGTTCAGACATGTATAGACAATGTGGCAGTTATAAGGCGCTATATCAGTTCAGACATGTATAGACAATGTGGCAGTTATAAGGCGCTAAGGCGCTATATCAGTTCAAGACATGTATAGACAATGTGGCAGTTATAAGGCGCTATATCAGTTCAGACATGTATAGACAATGTGGTAGTTATAAGGCGCTATATCAGTTCAGACATGTATAGATAATGTGGCAGTTATAAGGCGCTATATCAGTTCAGACATGTATAGACAATGTGGCAGTTATAAGGCGTTATATCAGTTCAGACATGTATAGACAATGTGGCAGTTATAAGGCGTTATATCAGTTCAGACATGTATAGACAATGTGGCAGTTATAAGGCGTTATATCAGTTCAGACATGTATAGACTCGCTACTCACTCACTCAATGTGGCAGTTATAAGGCGTTATATCAGTTGACCACATATAAACAATGTATAGTTATAATGTGGCAGGTTATAAGGCGCGATTATATCAGTTGTCGACATTCGTTTTACGTATAGCATGACAATGTGAGCGTCAGCTGATTGTGATAACTGTATTTTTGTGCTATTTTTGTGAACACCTGCTATCGTTACTACGCAAAAGAGAAATGGTTTTGCTGAACATATTTACAACTGCAGTTGAGACAGGCTTTCATTTTAAGTTACATTGGAAATGCCTTTCAACGTGAAGTACTAAGTGTCATATTCATAAACAACTAGCATACCGTCATCTAGTTCCGTTTATGCACAGCTGTAAAAGGAAAACAGAAAAATTACCATCGTAATTACAACTGAAGGTTAAGGAATGACAAACACATCCAATAAAATGTTTGTACATTAGGGGCCGTTGGGATCCTTTATTTGTTTCTCTCAGTATATTACAAGTATTGACAGGCACCTCACAGTAGGGAAGGTTGGGATCCTTTATTTGTTTCTCTCAGTATATTACAAGTATTGACAGGCACCTCACAGTAGGGAAGGTTGGGATCCTTTATTTGTTTCTCTCAGTATATTACAAGTATTGACAGGCACCTCACAGCAGGGGCGGTTGGGATCCTTTATTTGTTTCTCTCAGTATATTACAAGTATTGACAGGCACCTCACAGCAGGGGCGGTTGTGTAGCCTAGTGGTTAGAAGCGTTAGCTCGTCACGCCGAAGACCCGGCCTCGATTCCCCACATGGGTACAACGTGTGAAGCCCACTTCTAGTGTCCCCCGCCGTGAAATTCCTGGAGATTGCTAAAAGCGGCGCAAAACCATACTCAATCACTCACTCACTCATTCTGTGTGCCTCCCTTTGCTACTGCTGTAAGTAAAGACCCGGGGACATTGGTGGAGTCTAATGGTTGCATATGGACATACCAGGTGAGCTACAGGTTATATATGGACATACCGTCACATCAACGCCAGAGAATAACCTGTCTCGATTATCCCAGCACATGACTCACTCACTCACTCACTCACTCGTCACGCCGATTCCTCACATGGGTACAATGTGTGAAGCCCATTTCTGGTTTCCCCCGCCGTGATGTTGCTGGAATATTGCTAAAAGCGGCGTAAAAGCAAACTCAGTCAGTCAGTCACAACTACAGTCCACTAATACGACGCAAACTAGTCTATAAAGAGCAATTAACCTACGGAGAAAGATTATAATGTATAACTCAATATCTATCAACATTTCATTGCTTGGTCTCTGGTAACTTTGTCCCTGTTACAAATCATTCTTCAGTTTAATATTCATTTTAATACATTCATACCAGAATGTTGGATCAAACGCAATAGACGGGCATTGGGATGGAGTCGACTCGGTGTACACAACTAGGTCAACAAGCTTGCGTGACGTAGCATTGTAGACCTCAATTTCCCTGAAAGAACAATTCATTTAATCAAACTGATTAAAATTGTTTTCAATTTCATATAGAATATTTTGAACAGTAATGCAAGTCCAAATGCAGTCATTTTAGCTTGATAACGGCGTAAGACGCTAAATCGAAACGTCGTCCTATGCAATAAACAAGAAGTTTGCATCCATAAAGTTGTATATTTTATTTATACAAAGTCCTATCCAACCGACGCCCATATTATACAGAATTATATGAAACACAGTTATTTGCTGTTAACAAAGAATAAATAAAATACAACTGGCACACTGGAAATATCCGCTATTAATTCAAGTCCCACCGTTTCTGGTGTCCCCTGTCATGATGTTGCTGGAATATTGCTAAAACCAACTCATTCACTCACTCACTCACTCACAGGTTTCCTAAATACGTTATATGTTACTGGCATTGACTACAGAGCTGGTTCCTCCAAGATGGCTGTTCGGCTAACCATTATGGAGGATTTAATATTTACGCTTTATTTATCTACAGTTAACCTCACTTATAAATGTGTCCAGCGTATCGACAGGCTGTACATGCACAAGACCATATTCTTAAGGATAGACAACTTCTCTATTGCATTGGGTGTTTCGGTGTAGATGTTAACACCTGTATCGTGAGACACAACACTATGGACAAGGAGAATATATACATGAAGGATATTTGACTATACAATCAACGAGGCTGATGCACTGTATTACTAATACTTGGTGTGACAAAGGAGAGCGGCCGCTTAATCTTGATTCTACCATGACTTCAGTAAATACTGGATTGTGATTGGTTAATCAAAGTCATTTAAAGGTATATAAACACGTTATATACCTCTGATTTTCAAACAAAGCATTATTATTTTTTAAATCTTAATAACGCGGTTATGGTAGAATGATGATAAACGTACTGTGTTGGAACACCGGGGGTATATAACAAAATTAAAATAGCTCTAATTTTTTTATTTAAAACCTCACGCTACGCGTTCGGTTTTAAATCAAATTTAGAGTCATTATTATTTCTTTATATACCTCTGATTTACCAACACAGTATATTTATCTCCTAACTGACAAATGTACATCAACCTAGTTAACTGCTTGACCCATCGACCCATACTCATGCTGACAGCTACGCCCCTATACCTAATCTGTAATCTTGATAATCAGAAGGACTCCATATTTGTACAAGGAGGTTCCTTATAGGGACACCTCCTCCAGCTTTATCTCAGGAAGGACGCCGCTATAGTCTAGAACGCCCACGGACAAAATACTTCCGAAGACATTAAACAAACTAGAATAACTGACAACAAAATCCTTTTTCCATGGATATTTGTCCACACCATAATATGATGTGATATATTCAGAGCGATCACCAAAGGAATGACCCTGACTCAACTTTTACTGGTGACGAACAGTGCTAACACTCCGAGCAATATAATGACAACGTATTTGATCATGTGCCTAGTTCAGAGATAAACATGTCTAGTTTTCAAATTGTAGAAGGATGTTTATTCCATCGAGTTTTATCATCTTATATATTCAAATATTAAGAAACCTTTTACTCACGTATCGTTTACGTTTGCGACGTAGATGAGTCCATTACAATGGTTGACTTCAACAGAGGCGCAGCACTCCCCAGCCACTGGCTTTTTCGTTTGTTTGTAGACATCGTCAACCGCATCGTAGATGTAGACAGCACCAGCATCGTCACAGAACGCTATGTTTCCTAAATCAGAGAAATGTACTCCATCAGTCAAACCATTCATCGGAAAGTACTATTCTACCTATATCGGAGGATTGCAGACGGAATGCATAAACCCTCCAGTATATTAAGTAGCCATAATAGCTGTGTCAGATAACTGTATATTGAACATAGTGTCCCTCAGACACATATTCATCTCAGCCCACAGTTGTAGTTCTATCAGGGAATTGTACATTGAATATACATCAAGCGTTAGGTACGGAGTCATCTTAAATGTAGATGTATTGCATGAACCACCAGCCGGAGGTCAACGTATGGGTAGTTGCATACTAATCTCGTACGTCACATGAGTGTCGTATCGCGTTCACCTGTGCCGTAACAACTTGACCTGACATTCTAACGATTTGATTGGATAACCGATGACCTCTCAGTTAGGTTACGTTATGACGGAACAACTTTTTTATTCATAACAAACACGTGAATTCATTCATTCTACAACTTATAACACACGTACCAATAGTTCAGGGCACATGTGTTCATTATTACACTACATGGGAGTAGAGTGAACTGTGTTTCTTTTCTAAGATGCGAAATTTAATACTTAACGACGATAACTCTAAGCCAGAAAATAAACAGAAAAGCGACGGTGTCGGTGACCTGAATTCACAAGGCTAAATGACGCCCTGTTATCTTGACGTGTCGCTTTCGCTCGATCAGATACCATAGGAAGGACACTCATTTCGTATAATTCGTATGTAATGAGACCACGTGTAGTATTCTCTATCTACGTTCACTGAACTAAGTGACCCATAATCATTTCGGCACTATTTACAAACAGCAAATTGAACAGAAAGTACGTAAAATTTTAAATGACCGCACTCATGACCTATTTTCTGAATTTCAGCATCTTCCTTCCGGCCAAAGACTGCGCACGCCGTTTGTAACAAATAAACCCATATAAATGGAAACGGAGCCCCAGGGAGACCAGAGATTCCCTGAAGCTGAGGAAATATCGATCTAGATTTGCTTCATGTAGGGCTTTAGCATTGCATAGAGGGCTTGGCAGTAGGGAAAATAATGTGGTTCAGGGACTGTGGGACAGACTAGCCAATATTCAAAACAAACAGGGCTCGACATTCTTTCATCCCAGCAAGCATCAGTGTTTTAAATGAATTATTTTCATGTTTGTTAATCATTACTTTATCAATTGTTTCAAACTGTTATATTAATTTACTTTAAGTGCTAATGATCCTCAGCATAATTTTAATATCGCCACTATAGCTCTAAATCTTAAACGTATTATTAATATGTATTCATCATGTAGCTTTACCTCATATATTGGGCGTTGTTGCTATTTTAGTAATATTTAACATATGTATGGGTGTTTTCTGTGGTCTTATGTATATGTATCTTTGTTGTATTGAATACGTTTCAATGTTAACCGTGTGCAGCAAATTTCCTTCGGGATAATAAAGCATGACCTTATCTTATCATGACTTGAGTCACGGGGTGGAATATGTGTATCCTCGGGTGGACTGATCGGACTTGATTTCAGTTACCTCACTACAAGGTGAGTGAGTGAGTGTGGTTTTATGTCGCTTTTAGCAATATTCCAGCAATATCACACCAAAAATGGGCTTCACTGTATTCATGTGGGGAATCGAACCCGGGTCTTCGTTGTGACGAGCAAAACCTTTAAACACTAGCCTACCCCACCGCCCCTACTGTGAGGTGCCTGTAAATACTTGTAATATACTGATAGAAACAAATAAAGGATCGCAGGAAAAGGGTTCCTTTATTATTTTCCAGTTTTCATCACCACAGTGCTGTTCAAAGCTGGTGATGAAAACTAAACTATTAAAGGAACGCATGAATCTTCCTGTGATCCTTTATTTGTTTCTCTCAGTATATTAAAATCAAAGTACACATTGAATGAGACTTACCCAGTATATTCAGAATTGAGTTTGATTAGAACGGTAATGTGTTTAAAGAACTATTCCGCCTAAGATGTTATGCAGCTGTCTTGTTACATGAAGTAAAGATAGAAAATCAGGGCAAAAGAAGTCTCGGAAGTAGTTTTGGCCTGATGCTTCACAGAAATAAAATAAAAAGAATATCCGTAGATATTGGGCGTGTGGCCAGAATATCTCTTTACTGTTTATATTTCGGGTGATAATAACGAACTATACAATTTGTAATAGAGAGGATGCGTTGATTGAACGGATATATGAACTATACAATGCATACGAATATAAACGCAAATAGCGACAACATATAATTTGTTCTTAGCATTAGCACAGCATTATACCAACCATTACAGAGAACTGCAAACTCCTTAATCGACGCTGAAAATACATGTACTTGCTCCCAGTCACCACTACCATCTAATGGTCTCCTGATGATCTCCTGGCCATCATTCATGTACAGGTAACTGCAGCAAACACAAGAATGTGAAGCACATAGTTCAGCGGATTTGTCGACATTCTGGCACAAATCGTCCCAATACTTAAAACTGTCAACACTGAGGGTTTAATAATCGCAGTCATAAGCACAAAGCTAACATATTAAACGAAATGTAAATACAACAGAGGCAAATCATCGGAATCCATTGTACAATTGCGACTTTATCATGGGCATGTGTTCACGAATCAAACAATTTGGATTGGTTGGTTGGTTGGTTTGTTGCTTTAATTTAATGAACCATGAATGTAAAAGAGTTGGTTTCTTGTTGTCAAAACAGGAAACTGACATCAACGACATGTTTGGTTTGCATGTTGTTTAACGCCGCACTCAGCAATATTCCAGCTATATGGCGGCGGTCTGTACATAATCGAGTCTGGACCAGACAATCCAGCGATAAACAACATGAGCATCGATCTACGCAATTGGGATACGATGACATGTGTCAACCAAGTAGACCACCCGATCCCGTAAGTCACCTATTGAGACAAGCATGGGTTACTGAAGACCAATTCTAACCCGGATCTTTACTTCTCAAATGATTTGGAAACAAGATGTTACCGATAAGCACGACTCCCTTTGTTTGATGGAGGTGTTGGAATACACACCGAAGTGTCGGCACATTTGTTATAAGAAGCTGCCTATCGATATGTTCAGAGAGCGGTTACAGTCGGTGGCAGACTTAAGTAACATGTCCCCATATCGTGTCACCTTCATGACGTCACTCAGATGGGTATAATGTGTGAAGCCCATGTTTGGTGTCCCCCGCCGTGATATTGCTGGAATATTGCTGGAATATTGCTGGAATATTGCTAAAAGCGGCGTTAACCATACTCGCGCCTGATGTATACAGTAGATACACCCTATGTCTGATAAACACCTGTTCCAGGATCCCTACACACATGTACATCCTATTTCATCTTTAAATGAATGACCATTTGTAGGAGAGGTATTTCTGCTGTCAGTCTGTGTACATACCCGTTACTAACGTCAATTCTTCCTGTGTTGCCGTGATATGAGTAGCGCAGGGCTATTTGTCCTGAGGACTGCCTGTCGAAAGAGTAGATGCCATTTGGAGTCCAATCGTTGAACGTGATGGCCACAAGATCGTCGAATGAGTCAGGATCGAAGACAATGCCAGTTCCAAATGCCGTCGCTGTTAATGGAGGATCTGATAACAAAATATCCCCAAAACCATGAGATACAGGATAATTGTACCCGATGTCAAATCATTCAAACATGATCTCAACATGAAAACCCATTTCCAACACGTTTAGTAGTCTTTGATATCTGGTATATCACTATGTTGAACAAAACCTGATAAGTAGTCGTTCGCTAATCTATCTAATGTCTGGACCTTGCCAACCAACATGATATTAGTCGTGCCCTGACAGTATAATGAGATGTTGCTCAATGCCAAAAACATTATACTTGATCGTTCCCTGACAGTCGATATTCATTTTGCATGTATAATACAGCCTGTGTTTTCAAAACACACATTTGGACAAGAGAGGTTACAATGTGGAACGTGGTTATCATTTACATACCACCGTCATCGCCTAATACATCTTCAGGTCCATTTGGTGTTAGGCCGACATCGAACTTCAAATGGATCGTTCCTGAAGTAGTCAAATCCATAGGTATCACCGTTGATGTAAACAGCCCAACCAGTTACATTGGTATCGGTATTGAAGCCGTTCTGGATGACACCATTGGGATCTACCACGGCAACATCAGTTCCATCACAAGTAGCCACGAACACTGCTCCGGTACCTTGAGGAACATTGCAACAATGTAAAGTCAACAGGGAAGTCTACGGTCTAACTGCACCCCATCTTAAACAAAATGGTTCGTAAGTACAGATTGCAAGAAATCTATGTATCTCGAGAGTAAAAATTTCAGCTTTTTATAGGAATATATGTATTTTCACAGTATTACACAGATTCAGTCTGATGTTATAGATCTGCTATCTTGGAGGTTGATGTTATCTGTGGGCGGTTGGAAGTGTAGAAATAACATTGAGACACATAGTAGCTATTTCTAGCTGAATCGTTCTTGCCAAGACAATTACTGGTCCCTTTCTATAAGTAAATGTCAGATCATCAAGACACCGGTTCTTCAGGATTCCAATATATACACAGCAGCAATAAAACGTCAGTACGAATTCAAATTTAGATAGGCACTGTAATCAAATCATTACTGAAATGGACATAATAGGCAGATCAAAAACATGTTGTGTGTACAATATCTTGACACATCAATGAATAACTCAATTTCAAGACATTACGTGAACGTTTGCAGTCCATTCAGACCCTTGACTTCAGTATCTAGTGTGACCACCACGAGCGGCAATAACTGCAGCACAGCGCCCATGCATGGAGTGCACCAATCGATTGATGAAGGCCATTGGCACCTTGAACCACGCTCTGAGAAAAGCCTGGCGCAATAAATCGGCTGTGTTCGGCCTTGGTATGACGTTATTCAGTCTCCTCTGAATTTCATCCCAAAGATGTTCAATTGAGTTTAAATCAGGACTAAGGGCTGACCACTGCATAATGTTGACACCTCTCTGCTGTAGGAAGTCCCGTGTAGCTCTGGCAGTATGGGCCCGAACGTTACCATGCTGGAAAATGTTGCTCCGGTGACGTGCAAAATGTGGTATGACGTGGGGTCTGAGAGCTTGGTCGATGTAGCGCACCACTGTGATGCCGCCTCCTCTCCCTGGACCAAGGTTCTGGAACACCTTAGGATCCACTCTCTGGTTCAGGCCTATTCCACGCCATACCATGATGCTTGTACCTCCCAATGAGTCTTTTTCCATAACACATTGGTCTGAGTAACGCTCGCCACATCGTCGCCATATTCTTGTTCTGCCATCTGCAGTTGATACACAGTCCCGACTCTCATCTGAGAACAGAACAGTTCTCCATTGCCTGTATCGCCAGTTTTGGTGTTGTAGGGCAAACTGTAGACGTTCACGTCGATGACGAGGGGTGAGGGTAGGTCCATGGTAAATTCTACGGCAATGGAGGTTCCCGCTGTCAAGACGTCAGCGTACTGTTTCAGTACTGATTGGTCTTCCGTGTGTTCCCACTGTCTGGCGTGCTGTTTCGGATACCTACATGAAAGGGATTCTGTACATGGCGGTCTTGTCGTCTTGTGGTCACCCTTGGTCTGCCAGTACGGGGGCGATCATTTGTGGTGTTGGTGGCCCGGAAACGTTGCTGCAGCCTGTAGATGGTCCGAACGTTGTCCTGGAAGTGATTGGCAACGGCCTGTGCAGTGTGGCCAGCTTCAAGTCTTCCTAGCGCCTGGTTCCGCTCAGCTGTCATGAGTCGCGGCAATCTGCTGACGTTGTAATGTGAATGTTTCAACCAGGTTTGGGGGTGCATTTTATAGGATTGGTCCTTGTGAACAGCACGAGCAGAATGAGATGCATGAAAAACATGGAGAACACCGTACCATCTCCGAGATCAGGTTGCGTTTTTGAGACCATTTCCTGGGTTCCATTCTGAGTTTGGGAAGGAATGTCTTTGCTCAGGTAAAGTTGGAGATGTTGTCAAATATATACAATCAAAACATTAAATGAGTTTACATTTATCTGTTTCTGCGAAGGAAAATTCCAAACTGACGTTTCTTTTGCTGTTTAGTATATCATTTCACACGAATATATGAACCTACGATTTGGACACTCTCCTGGGGCGCTGGATGTGACATTTCCCACATCGTCAATGAACTCTACCAAAGCAGAACTGAAGTTAGAGACTCGTGTTTCGAAGCACTCAAGGGAGTCATCTGCAACAAGATTTATAATTTACTAACATAACCTAGATTAGATTAGGTATTCTGCAACACTAAATGCACAAGATATATTTATGACAGTATTTACAAAATTACAGGTTGTACCTAAACCATTGTTTGAAGTTACAAACAGTGTCACTTGAAACATATGGAAACTGCATGGATTTCATGAAGGGACAGCGTTACATGGTTACTACTGTAAACAATGTCATGACAAACGAAATGTTAGCACAAAGGGATTGTTAGAGAGTAAACTGCAGTTATGACTCATGAGTGTTCTACAGATGTTATGTGCGCATCAGTAAGGGTTTTCATCTAGTAAAACGCATTTTTGTTGGCGTAATCAAAATAGAACAAACAAATATAAATGATCCCTTTGAACACTGACTTTCAAAGGGAATGACTGTACCGTAACAAGAAAAGAATAGTCAATTATGTACCCAAATTCAGAGTTATCTTGTCCGGGTAGAAATATTCCTCCATGCCAATCAGAGATGCGCGTAAACATATGGAGAAGAAATCCGGGTTAAAATAGTTTGTTGAAATAATTTTGCATTTTTTTCCCCACACTTCAAGTATATTTTAATTATTGCATAGTCCTCCCGGGTTTCCAGAATTGTTTTAACCAGGATATAATAACATTATGGCGTAGGAAAGAGTTCACCGTTCTATTCCTTCTATCTGCGCTTTTGCGCTCAGACAGAGCCACGTTCAATAAAATGGCTATGAGAGGGGTACGGGTCTTCTTTCAGGTTACGGAAAGGGACGACTAGTTACGGAAAGGGACGACTAGTTACGGAAAGGGACGACTAGTTACGAATGGGAAGAGACTGTACATGTGCTTTAATCTTCATTCAAAGTGTAACGGCCGACCTGAAACGGTATTAAAGTTTTAACCCAACAGGGGCATTAAATAATACTGATCATTCGAAGTGTAACGGCCGACCTGAAACTGTTACCCCATTGGATGCCTGCCTCTCTCGTTCATAAGTCAAAATGTCAACAGGGGTATTGAATAATTCTGATCAAATGGTCTACTGGGTTACTACATGATGCATTGTTGCACTGATGCGCCATCCAGCAATGGGCGATCTTTCTTCAAATTATCTTCACTAACCCGCTAGGTGCGCTGATCCGGACTTCCCAACCTTAATATGAATGCCATTTCTTGCTGTATGCGCTGTGCAAGCTGTACATGTAACTATGACACTTAGAAACAGTTAACAAGTATAGCCTTCACCTTCACCGGAAACGTTCACGCTGGTGCATGAACAGCATATCTTTCCCCTTAAACGATGACATATCAAGTGTTATGTCCTGAACTACTTGTTCCCTGATTCCTGGACACATCAGGGATAACCATGATTGCAATAATGAATCTCCATTAGAAGCGAGGAATCAGCTGATCGTTCATTTCAGGCCATGTATTGTCGTTTTGTTTTAATTAAATTAGCAAAAGTTAATTTAGGTCTTATTACACTTTCAAACCTACAGTATGTTTTCATTGTACACATTTCATTGTGTCTTTCGTATAATGGCTGATAACGAAAACAAGCTAACTAGCGTAATTGGCTGGCTGGCAATTAGGAGCCTCACTCTGAGAGTGTGGGTTCGAATCCCGGATAGGACTCAACCCAACAAAAGTACACGAATCTGTACTTTACTAAGAAAGTGTAATCACAAATATAACATATGCTACATTTGACCACTTACTAAGTGGCATTGTGCAATCATAGCTTTCGGCCCTGGGAGCCGTGCCAATTCACACTTATCAAAGAGGTACACAAAGTCCGCAGTCTGAACTAACCGTTGTCCGACTTCCATTTTTGTGGAGGTCGCGGTGGCTGAGCGGGTTAGGCGGCTGACTTTGTGTGCTGGCGATTGGGTGCTTGACTCTGAGGGTGTGGGTTGGAATCCCGGATGGGACTCCCATGCAGACATAATGCTACAGGTCCTTGGGTAATTCCAGTTCACCCAGCCCCATATTAATTCAATCCCACTATTAGGGGTTAGGATTAGCGTGTGAAATTACCTATAAAATTAACCCCTACTTTGAGGATGTTAAAAAGTGAACATAACAAGGTCTGTTTGAGTACTGTTGAGTGAAAAGGTTAACATTTGGTTGGCCAAATTATTCTGGAGGACGAGATTCAGTGTGCCGAGTTGCGTCCCGACAGATAAACAGCATATATATGCATCACATTAAACGTTCCTCCTGCATCAAGCTCATATTAGAAGGGAGATCCTGTCCGAAAGACATTAAACCAAGTGTTAATATACCTACATGACGTCAAACTGGCCGGCATGCTTGACTTATTGATTGGGTAAGAGATTGTTTTGAGACCCAGCAGTCACCCGTTTCCTGTCTGCACAGTATCTCGACCTACAATGAGACTTCGGCACAAGAATACAAGGTGAACCCCAGTCACTATGGCTTGGTTCAATAATGTCATTGTCCATCACTAACAAGGAGACTATGATGTCTTCTATAATCCGGCTATCGTATGTGTATTCAGCATTCACTTTCCCATTTAAATACCTAAAATATCGATACATTCTCATGTTTTACATTATGGATGATTTTGTTTTTCAATCGATCGGATTGTAAACTTACTTTGTACATATACTACCGCAAGGATCAACTTATTATAAGAAGCCTTGAAAAACAAGAAGTGTTCCTGTTACACAAGCGTTCTTCTTTCCAGGGTGTCTATTTCCAGGGTATATCCAGGGTATCTACATGTTAATCTGTTTCCAGGGTATCTACATGTTTATCTGTTTCCAGGGTATCTACATGTTTCTGTTTCCAGGGTATCTACATGTTAATCTGTTTCCAGGGTATCTACATGTTAATCTGTTTCCAGGGTATATACATGTTAATCTGTTTCCAGGGTATCTACATGTTAATCTGTTTCCAGGGTATCTACATGTTAATCTGTTTCCAGGGTATCTACATGTTAATCTGTTTCCAGGGTATCTACATGTTAATCTGTTTCCAGGGTATCTACATGTTAATCTGTTTCCAGGGTATCTACATGTTAATCTGATTCCAGGGTATCTACATGTTAATCTGTTTCCAGGGTATCTACATGTTAATCTGTTTCCAGGGTATCTACATGTTAATCTGTTTCCAGGGTATCTACATGTTAATCTGTTTCCAGGGTATCTACATGTTAATCTGTTTCCAGGTTATCTACATATTAATCTGTTTCCAGGTTATCTACATATTAATCTGTGGTAGTTTGAATGCCGTATGCACTATTTCTTCTGATTGTGACAAACATGTGTTTTAGGCTGTCGATCACGTGGCAGTGTCATCAACCGATTTGGACAAGTATTGATAAAATTGCTCTACACATTTAACTTGTTGATTGTAAATTGTCGGTCGACTGGAGATATGTCAGGCGAGTATACATATTACAGGGGAAATGGTTGCAGAGTATGTCACTCTGTAGGAAGTTCTAAATTTTTGCACAGAAACCTGTTCAGTAGATCGTTGGCTAACAAACACATCTGCACTACAACAACACACTGACTGTTAGCTTCACTCAGTCAAAGTCAATAAACGTTTGACAGATAATTTCGTGATATATTAACTACAGATTTTGTATGAGCCCCTAATATATGCTTTAACCATGTGTCGATTTCCGAGTTAAATAAATATGATAGCCAAGAAATCTGTCAAAACTAAATTCAGTGTGAAACCTACTAACAACAAAGAAATACACTTTTACACTTCAAATACGTTTCATGAGCCATTTTTAGATAAGAATAAGAATTTAATGCGTTAGTTTAAGATGAATTATTTCATGCAATTTCAATGGTGAAAGTGTGAAGATTCACACGTCTGTATACACAGAGTTCGCCAACACAGCAGCAGCCTTTAGTGTTGTGTTTCCGTTCACCTGAGTCCACAGGCTGGCGTCAGTACTTTGATGGCCACCATTGGCAGCAATTGCTGCTCGGCACCGTCTCGGCACAGTCTGGAGGAGTCGACGAAGTCGCTCTTGCGGAATTCTTCCCAACTCTTCCTGCAATGCGATGACCAGTTGTGGAAGTGTCTGAGGCGTGTCTTGACGTACACGTCGATTGAGTTCATCTCATAGGTTAATTTTAATTATCATTTAATCATTGACTTTTTATTGGGTTTAGATCTGGTAATCGGGAAGGCGATAACATGACATTGACGTTCAAATTGGCAAGGTAGCGGACCGTGACGCGTGCTGTATGTGAAGTGGCGTTGTCATGATGGAATAACTCCCTCTGTCGGTCCATACTCGGAAGCATGTAACATGCAAGGGCGTCGTTGATGTACCGATTTGCTGTCAAATTCCCTTGAACCACCACTAAATCAGATCTTTGTGAGCTGGATATCCCAACCTACACCATGACACTTTCTCGACCGAATCTGTCGACCTGTCGAATGCAATTAGGGGCAAAACGTTCATTTCTCCGACGGCAAACACGCTGTCTTCCATCTCACCGGTGAAGAGGAAATTGTGATTCATCACTGATCCCGACTTGCCTCCAGTTTCTAAAGGTTCCAGTTCCGGACTCTACGACACCACCGCAAGCTATTCGCCGATGTAAGTCTCTCAAAACAGGGGTGACAACTGGCCCTCTTGGTCGAATCCCCACTTCAGGCAATCGATTCCTGACAGTTTGGTCGGAAATTCTTCTCAAACCAGGGATGCATTGTGCAGTCTCCACGGCTGTGGCAAGACGATGACGCGAATGAGCAGCTTGGATGTAGCGGTCCTGGGCTTGGGTGGTAACTCTTGGACGGCCGCTTCTCGGGGGATCTGCAGGAAATGATCCCAAAAGACGAGATCCCAAAAGACGGTGCTCTGATGGACGTTGAAATATCGGCCAACTGATTTCCTCTTTTCCAGGCAAAAACGAATGACAAAAGTAAACACAACGCTTGCCTTTTTTATAGTGATTTTAATGGCTTTTCCGCTTATTTGCAAGTGCATTTTGCTTTGCATGTTTTCTTGGTGATGTTTTGGCGAATATTTCTTCAGCGCTTTCAAAACAATGGGAAAAGTTCAAATTGCCGCATTTTGGCGCTGATTAAAGCTGTTTACAATCACACAAAGATGACGTTTTTGAATGAAATAGTATATTTGAATTGTTTTTGCCGCTGCTACATAAGTTCAATATTCTCAAAATCACCTTTACGTTTCTTGTTTTATAGAATGTATTATACAATAAATAACTGTATTATTCAATTTCTTAAGGTTCTAAATGAAATTACAAATGACTGCACATGAATCACAATGGCAGTAGAGAAGAGAGCGGCAGTACAAATACTATGGCAATATGCTATAGAAGCGGTGGCAGTTATTGTAGCAAGAAAGTCGGTGGTGATACTATTCAGCGGGAAGCAACATTGATTAGCTTCCAAACAAGGAAGTCGTGGTGAAAAACGATTTTTATACACTGCTGGATTTGATGACAGCGGCAAGCACATGTCCCTCGATACAGTAATAAATATCTTCTCGGAGGATTTATCCCATGCTGGATTATCCCCCCAGAACCTCACAGGGTAATCTTCGCTCCAGGTCTAAATACATTAAACATATGTTGAACATACAACCTTTGTTGTAGGAGGTACAAAAGTACAAAGACGGCGGCAATATTAAACTGGAAGGCACATGTATGTTGTGATAATCTTGAATGTACGGGCTATGTATAATTCATACCTGACTATTAAAGTAACACATACGAGATCCACATGCATTATTTGTAAATACAAATAGAAATACGGTGCCATATCCATGCTGCAGCGTTTCAATGAGCTCGGAATGCTCAGTAAATCACCGGAAATAACATGACTTTTGATTAACAATTAATTGACAGAACAATTTATACATTTCCTAGAAGATCACAAACAGTGAGATCAGGGTGACCTCATCGTTTAATTTGTATTTTGTCATGATACAATAGATGTCATATGAGCTGAAGATACTATACTCACTACGCCATACTTACAATAACTCTTACTTTTTGTCATCAACCCATCAGCTAATATTGCTACAGTCGTTTAATTTCCTTCTATGAATATTGTCTTGTTCTTACGTTGTGCACTCCTGGAGGAGAGGTGAGTGAGTGAGTGAGTGAGTTTAGTTTTACGCCGCACTCAGCAATATTCCAGCTATATGGCGGCGGTCTGTAAATAATCGAGTCTGGACCAGACAATCTAGTGATCAACAGCATGAGCATCGATCTGCGCTATTGGGAACCGATGAAATGTGTCAACCAAGTCAGCGAGCCTGACCACCCGATCCCGTTAGTCGCCTCTTACGACAAGCATGGGTTACTGAAGATTAATATTTTAACCCGGACCTTCACGGGTCCCTGGAGGAGAGGTAACAAAGCGTTTAAATATATGGTTATATTTGGGTTTCTCCTCTTTGTGACCATGGCGATGTTTTGGAGATGTGGTAAACAGACCCAGACACTGGCGTTGGCGGCTTATTCTTTACAACGACTGCCAGTATATCGTTTTTGTCGATGCATGCAAGCAGCTCATGATTTCATCACGTTCTAATTTTAATGATAATTCGGACGGCTAAACGAAGATTCAACTTTGGACGTATTTGGCCATGGTATGTTAATTTAGGAACAAACAGGCAAGGTGAGCGTAAAACGTGTTGCTCTATGTATGTAGATGTATCAGGAGTAAAGCACACCATATAACTTGTTTCACTGTGGTTCGTGAAGCTGGAAATTATTGTCATCCTGAGAGGGTACGTCAGTCCCGAAACATTCGGAAGGAAATTTAAATTTGCCGGATGTTTTACATGTAGTATTTTTGTCATTTTATTTTGGCTAAATTTGATTACAATCGCCAGCTGCTGAAGAGATGATATAAATCCAGCTAGGGTCCATGTAGGTAGGAAAAGTACTTTAAAGTCCCCATGGTCCCAGTATGGTGATCTATAGCCCGTTTTTTATATTGTACTGTTATCTCTAGTAATTTATTTTTATGATAACATACTAGTTTTAAATTAAGAGCTGTGATAATCTAGTATGTTTGCTGTCCTTCGATGACAGGTTTTTACTTTCTAAATTTATTTATTTTATTTATTTATTTTCGTCATGATATGGCTGACATATTGCCGAGAGGACGCTAAATATTAACTCACTCACTCACTCTTGAAGCTGGACGCCGTACAGTAGAGGATATTAAAACATTTAGTGGCATGAATAACATAAATACATCATAAATAGGATAAGAAAAATGGGGAGTTTTGCAACTGAATATACGTATCCCTCTCTAATGAGCCAATGGTGCTACTGTCGGAAACTAATTCCCACAATCTTCCTGTCTGATTGACTAACACAGATACCAGCACCTGGCCATTAGTGTATGAACGTTTCCTTGGGGTAGTCAATTGTACGGGATATTTCGTTGCAGGTAAAATGTGTCTCTGTTTAAAATAACCTAATTTTAATATGGCCCTGAAAAGACGTAACTGTAAGCATTTTACCAAACCCCAACAGATTACACGTCTATAAATAATATCATAGTAACACATAGTATAGTTTGTCACTAACCCAGACACGGGCACTGCTGGTCGATGAGGTCGAGGGCGTTGTCAAGACAGGTGCTAATGTTTTTAAGTGCTGCGCCGAGGTTCTCAAGCTTCTCAAACAGAAGACCTGCTTGTGGACACCCTGTAGACGTAACACACGTATCCCCCAACACCATTGCCACAAGCGGTGCTGCAGTCGGAAATTAACCCCATTCCGCCTCTTCGATTAAACAACACATCGCACCACTGGGCCAATATTTTCTTGTTGCACTGTACTGAATTATTATAGGATTTTGTCCATTCAATGCAGGTCAAACTGGTATCTGTTTGAAACTACTTAATTTTAGCGAAGCCATGAAATGGGACAGATGTAAATGCGAACATTTTAACATACACCCCGACATATTGCACGTCTATAAATAATCTCATAATAACACATAATATAGTTTGTCACTTACCCAGGCATGGACATTGCTCGTCGATGAGGTCGAAGACAGAAATTAAACTGTTGTTAATGTTACTAAGTGCTGTGCTGAGGTTCACAAGCTTCTCCAACAGAAGACCTGCTTGTGGACACCCTGTAGACGTAACGACATCGGAAGACGAAGCGAGTGGTGCTTGTGTGGTGAGGACGACCAGGAACAGACACAGGAAGCAGTTGGAGGAGAACATCATCTTGACTCTTCTATCAGCTACTGACAGGGATCTACCCGGGACCTCATTTATACTGTTGTTACCTGCCCACGTGGGTCGCTGTAGTTACATCATCTGATTTCAGTCACATGCTTGTTCAGTTACGTGGTTGTGTCTATTTCACGAAAACAGATGTTGAAACTTTGTGTATTCTTTTATCTATAATATTGAAAACACAGAAATATTTATATTGTAACATATGGTATATTTTGTAATTACTCATTTTCAGAAAGGTGTTGATTTTTAGTACTTTTGTTTGGATGAGTACCACCCTGGGTTCCTGAGTGCACTAGATCGCCGACAGTGTATTGGCGATTAGGCGGCACACTCTGACAGCGTGGAGACATGCCGGATGGGACTCGACCCCAACATGTATTAGATTATGTTCGTAATTTAAAAATGTCATCCCAAAATACATTATAAGTCTATTTGACCACTTTCTAACTGGCATTGTATAATCACAGAAATATGTAATATGTGAAAACAATTTTTACTTGTGGATTCGGTACTTTGATATTGAAACCCCTTTGCTCATGACCCCGATTGAATGCAAATCTTGATAATGTCCTGTATGACTAACTTGTCATGACCTGGGGCCTTATTCTCGAAACATTCGTAGCCCTAAGAATTCTTAACTTTGATCGTAGCCAATGTGTTAAGAATGGGCTTAAGAAGTTCGTAAGGCTACGAACGTTTCGAGAATAGCTAGCCTGATGTTTAAATGTTATGTGTTTATTTACACGTCTGTTATCAATACTCAAAGCTGCAGCTGCTTCGTTGAAATGATACCTTTCATTCTACCATTACTTCAGTAAATACTGGGTTGTGATTGGTTAATTAAAGTCATTCAGAGGTATATAATCACGTTATACAGGTCACTGATTTTCCGTGCAAAATTATACAAGTTTTATGGTAATGAACTTATTTCGTTTGCCCACCAACATGGCAGACACCAAACTACCCATACATCGACAGTTTATGGCAATTTTGCTGTCGGAAGTTACACGTGTCTTTGACTCATTACTTGCGTAAATCACAGAAATAGGCGATAATATATACAAATTACTATACATGTACAGAAACAAACAAAACAAGATACAAGATCAAAACAATTTCTGCTGTCTGAATACAAATTCAGCAAGAAAAATGTGTTTACGTTGATTCTATGTTATGTCAGACAAACTGCTACATAATTTCCATATCAAGTATATTACCAGATGTCGTTGACGATATGGCCACTGGTTTTGATCCGGTGACGGAGGATGCATTAACATCGAACGCCGAAGATAAAGACTGTTGGTTTATTAATTCAAACAAAATGAGCAGTAGTATAATTCAATTAAAGAAGCTGTAAAATTCAATTAAAACCGTTCTGTTTAGCCAAACATATTTTGCTAAATATTATATCGTTGAAAAAATGATTTAGCCTAGTCACGATCCATCTGATCCATTACACTGCTTGATCTAGTCTATTGGAGTATAATTAATTACATGTACGTTACCGTGTTTATGCCAGAGGTACACCCTTATGTCATGTTCAGTCCTTTCGGAAATATTCCCCCAAATCCAGCTTTTCGTCAGCAGCCCTGCGAACATGCCAGCGAGTCCGCTTCAATTTTGTCCCCTTGGAAGCCGCTGGGTCACAACACACTTTCCAGAATGATGAAAATAATATCCGTAGAATCGAAATTGAGCACAAAGTACACAAATGAGTGTGTAAAAGTCACAACAGTGACTCTTCTGTCAACGCAGGCGTGGATGTGGGTAAAATCGTAAAGTTGACAGGGCTCAAAATTAAATTCAACAGTATCTCAATTCGTACAACACGGACTCTTCATCACAGCAAAACCGCCTCAATTCCTAAATTTCAAAAACTCTATCTCAGTCATATAACCAAGTTACCTATATGCACAAACTGTCAGAAGTTCTCCTGCCGCAGATCTTTCCAAAATCCCAATAAACAACGTCACGATAAACAATGACCTCCGAGAATAGGTCGAAGACACGAGGTCGCTGCCATTATTCGGGTGGGTTAAGGGTCGACGGCGGAATTTTAAAATGTAAACCAAGTTTTTTAAATATACTCGATATATGTTTTCCAAATAATGCAGTGAAAAAAACAAAACGTTTTTGTTATTACTGAACCAGGTGTTTGTTAGTTATTGACGGTTTTACCACTAACCACCGTATTTGTGATTTTGCCCTTTTTCTTGATGGTAAAACGATGTCCTCCTCTGACATGTCAGAACAACGAGCCTTGCCCTATATGATACCACGACAAGACCGAGTCCTATGCACGGACACAGCAACCTCAACCTGGCAAATGTTTTGACAGACAAAAGATTGAGAGATTGCTGTCTCCGTGCGGACTCTACCAGAAGTGAACCACTACGGAGACGAGTAACACGTTTTACTTCCCCACAAATCCCATGGATAACTTTGGATTCTGCAAATGGGTTCAGTTTAATAGGTACATAGTCAGAAGCTTCAAGCACTAGGAATCTAGCCCAGGAACCAATGTTTGTCGAATTTGTTTCAGTTGAACTGTCAAGTCCGTCTAGACATCTCTATTTTTCGTTTCGACATGAACCAGCTTGTTGAGATGATATGATCAAGAGAAACTTATTCAGCATCCCTGCTCCCCTCCCCTGCTCCCCATCCAACACGGAGTGTCAACAAGGACAGTGTCAAATAGCACCAGATATCCAAGATGCTGATACTATGGATGCTGCTGGCATGTTATACCCCAGAGAAAATGATACAAAATGCTACATTTATCTACTAATTTTCGGCAAATGACATGAAAATGTCGACATGCATCATTTGGAGGTCATTATCTTCTGGCATAGGACTCTAATACATCGATAATATGTAAACTGAAAATCTAAAGACCAAGGCACAAACCTAAGTTATATGTGCAAAAATAGTCACCGTGCTTGGCGGTACTAGTTGACTGATAAAACCGTGCCGTTTCTACCACCCGTCTAGGTGCATTAAGGGCTGAAGTGGTGTGTTGGATAAAAGGGAACACGGTTCCTGGCTCCTCTGCCCCTAACCACCCGAATCCCGTCCTCCACCGACACATGGGCGCCACCCACGGACAATAGGTTGAGGACCTCCTCTGCCCTTAACCACCCGAATTCCGTCCTCCACCGACACATGGGCGCCACCCACGGACTTTAGGTTGAGGACCTCCTCTGCCCCTAACCACTCGAATCCCGTCCTCCACCGACACATGGGCGCCACCCGCGGACAATAGGTTGAGGACCTCTTCTGCCCCGGGTCCACACGGGGGAAGTGATTGAGCGAGTTTAGTTTTACGCCGCCCTCAGCAAGACTCCAGATACATGGCGGCCATCTCTACATAATCGATTCTGAATCAGACAATCCAGTGATCACCAGCACAAGCATCGATCTACACAGTTGGATGCGATGACATGTGTCAACTAAGTCAGCGAGCTTGACCATCCGATCCTGTTAGCCAAGCATAGGTTACTGAAGATCAATTCTAACCCAGATCTTCACGGGTACCACACGGCGAAAAAGCTATTAGCGTTCGACAAGGGTATGAAAGGCATGGACTAGGTTGCATTAGGTGATGACAGCAGCACTCAGATTAGAGAGACGACAGAGGCTTGGCAATAAGGTCAGTAAATATACCTGCCATTTAAACCTTGCTTTTAAGTTCAATTAGTGCCTCGCGTATTACCCTAACACAAATGCTATCAGTTTAAGAATCTGCCGCCTTCCGCCGTCTTCATTCGGCTCCTAGCACAATGATTATGTGAGAACAGGTGAGTGTATCTCATGATGGTTTCACTAATAATTGTCATCAAAGTGTATGTGATAAAATATTTTGTAACATGATTACGTGCGTAAGATAACTGATATTCCTGCAAACTACTTGGCACGTACGTTTTGGGGGAGAGTATAATTCGAAAATCCCACTAATATCGTCTATTTTACTAAAGGAAACTATGGTCTGCAAAATGTAGGGGCGGCGGGGTAGCCCAGTGGTTAAAGCGTTCGCTCGTCACGCCGAAGGCCCGGGTTCGATTCCCCACATGGGTACAATGAGTGAAGCCCATTTCTTGTGTCCCCCGCTGTGATGTTGCTGGAATATTGCTAAAAGCGGCGTGAAACCATACTCACTCACTCACTCACCGCAAAATGTAACATCGTGTTGACTGTTTCTGGTTGCTGGTGACAGCTTGACAAATGACATGGTAAACAACATCTGGTAACACGCTGAGACGTGTATCAGGTGGGACGTTTTAAAACACTTTACATCTCAACAATCTATACCACACTTTGAATAATTAAATATATATCTGAAACTCATATGCAACAGTTTTCAAATATACACATGTATACATGAGGGTTTTTTAAAGGATACCGTTATGTGAGGGATAGAATTACTGCGTCTGGGTTTATGTCATGAGGTTTTTTTATGTTCATAGGAGTGTATGCATTAGCAGCAGCAATATCCACTCATTCTCAGTAATCAGGGACCATTGGGGTCTACAACTTGGAACAAAGATGGAAATGAAAACCGCTACGCGGCCATTTTTTCAGTTAGTACCATATCTTAACTAATCTTCTGCAAAACATTCACACTCAGGCACGACCAGATTTCTCACTGTGTGTTCACAGAACCAATTCCGTGTTGTATTTTACGTTACAGAATCCCTATATGCTTTCCATCTTTTTATTCCAACTGAATTGCGTGATACGCTCAGGAGTTCATAGATCAATTATTGTACACAGGTCCATCGAACTATGGAAGCGAATTAACTTGCTTAAAATCTAATATAAAAATAAATAGAGTAATTAACATTGTGAACTGCTTATTTAGCTGTGCAATGATATCAGTGAAGGATTTAACCAACAACACTAATAAAAATGGAAAGATGAGTTGATAGTTTTCTGCCCGAGTGCGAAACTACAAAGCTGGCCGATGACAAACAATGGACAATAGTACCAATATTTCTGTTGGTTGTTCAGGACAATTATGTTATTCGTCTGTAACGTAAATTACTACTGTTAATATATTTCAATAATGATATCCACTTTTGATAACAGAATTAAACTTTATTTCAGCAAGAAAGCTTATAATCAGTCTGTAACAATTATCTCTCAATTAAAATGACACAAAATCGTCAATCATCACAACTATGACGCAGTTTTCGATAAAAGCTCGGTCTCCATATTGACATATGCAGCTCCTCCACTTGCTTTCTTTCTCTTCAATATTCATGTTACATTTGGGCAGCAGATTCAGCCACTGTAGCTGAAAAGATTATCCTCTTGACATTGTTATATATGTTTCACCAATGGTATGACAACGCCTTTATCATATTAATTCAACCATCTTGGAAACGCCTGAATAAGTCGGGGTAATGAAGTAATTTACGTTACGATAATGATGTGCTTACCAACACTCGTGAGTGCACACAATTGAATTAATCAATGATTTCGATGGATTTTTTCAGCCACAACCCCATTCACACAAGAATTTAAAATAAAACTAAAACATATTGATACTATACCTGACACTCCTTCATATTTTTGTTAATTTTCATCTCATCAATTAGAAGTTTGTTTCAACATTCATTAATATAACCCTATCACAATCCATTCAACAAATGGAATATTTAGATGCCTAATTAAATTTCCAAACACTAAAAGAATTGAAAATATCGTGCATACAAAAACTAACATCAATAAGCATTCATTGACGTAATTTACGTTACCGCAATGTAATGTACGTAACTTTTATATAAAGGGCGATAACTACCTAAAACTACTTTCACTTATCAAAGTGTGACTCACATTTGATATTTCGGCCATACCAGACAACAAAACAATAGTTTTGTGAAACTTTCCAAATTTCCAAATATGGCGGTAACGTAAATTACAGTAACGTAAATTAGTTCTGGTAATGAATAATGTTATGGCAAGATGAATAAATACAGAATGCTTGGTTGGGGCACATGTATAACAACAGACCGCCGGACCCCAAATGTACAGTGATGAAGACTATTACTGGGATGTTAGATTTTGAGTTATAAGGGTAACGTATGATTACTTGCTTAAAAAATATCTACTGATGTCAAGCATATTTTTCCATATTGTAAGCAAAATCGATGTTAACGAAACTATATGTTCTTACATATCGAGAATAGATGAACAGGCCAATCAAAAAAGTTATCTTCTGGGTCTGTGCGATGATTTACCACAAGAAAACTTGTAAACAAACACAAAGTAACGTAAATTACTCTGACTCGAACGACACAATCTAAACGTGATAAAATTTTGCAGCAAGCTGAAATGAAAAGAATACGCACTACCGACATAGCAAAACTGCCGTCATGGAACCAAATGTTTGCTTCTGACGCTGCAATATGACTTGGTGCCATCTTTTTTAAGGTTGATACATATTGTAAACAGTGTTATTTAGAATATCTGCACAGATACACCTAGATTTAATATCAATCAAATTTGAAAGCACCGACAGTCAAAATGTCGGCGACAGCAATTGTCCCAGTTAACCGAGAATGAGTGATCATGGTTAGACATAGCAGGAGTTCAGTGATAGGGTATGCTAGGTCCAGTCTCCGAGACGTGTATACATAAGGGAGTACTATATTAATTTTCATTGGTATAAGAGTGTGTTCTACGGGTATTGTATTACATCTGATATGAACTAATGATATTTAATTACTGGTTTCAATAGTGATTTCTGTAGCTCATCTTCCATGCAAAAAACATGACATTCACTTTTCTTGCACAGCACAGACGTAACTGCCCCTACCATGTACACATCATGTTTACTGAATTGAAAGTAATGTCTAAATACAGACTAAAGTCTGACACACGATTTAGAAATGTGAATTTTCAGTTAGGCTAATATGTAGTAGGTTCTTCGACAAGAATGGCGAATTGCAGACTAGTGAATAAATTGTGAAATAGAGAATAGTAGACTGTAGAATAGTCAATAGACTGTAGATTGTATAGTAGTGAATATATTCCAGACAGGGGAATAGATTGTAGTTAACAGAACACAACACGCCAATCAGAACAATAACATATTTTTTTCAATTAAGCATTGTATAAAAATGTGAAACGATTTAAAAAGATAATTTCTTTGACATATTTCCGATTTCACAACTCTAGTCCAAATCCCAGTGTTTGAAGACCAAGTCATACATGTCCTGAAGGAGTAAAAAGGCCTTCAACGTCGACGGCACAGGCAGCAGTTCAACCAGAGGTTCAATTGATCGTTGAGTGCGACTTTGAAGGACAGACCTCACCGACCTTCTACAAAGTGTTAGCAGACTGTCAGGCTGAAGTGTCGCCGATCCTACCAATTTTTGGCAATTCGGAGCTAACTTTGGCTGTTTTTGACACCACATTTCAGCAAGATCGTAAAAATCCTGACTGTAATAAATCAGCAGTTTGAGCATTGACAGGTTTTCCCATTTCAGATGTTCTACCTGTATATCCCTGGAATGTATCTTGGCGCCACATTGTAGCAGGATACATGTTGTATCTAAGTGGCCGTATATAATTGCATAATGGACTGGTGAGTATTTGTCTATATTATCTTTACAATTCAATTCTGCACCAGCTCTCAACAACATGTGCAAAGCTTTGACACTGAAAGACTCTTCACCACTATGAGCCTGATTGTGTTGATGTGACCAGGTACAGGTCTGATTGGTCCGCAGCAGCTTCTGTTTCAGATGCCGCTGACTTACATGGAGTGCATAGAATAACGGAGTGTGGCCAAACACATCCCTTCGGTTTACATCAGCGTCGTAGTCGATGAGAACGTCCACGATGTCCAGGTGTCCGGACTCACAGGCCAAGGTCAGCGGTGTTTTCCCCAAACGTTCCACTGTGTTCACATCTGTTCCCACACTGCATAGCAGCCTGACGATGTCTGTGTGTCCTTCCTGTACGGCGATGTGGAGAGGGGAGAACAGTTTGTGCTTCCAACCATTCATATTGCGGGAGATAGAGACATCGCACCCTATTAGAAATTAAGATAGCAGTCATTAAAATCAAAACTCTTAATATATACACTTCTCCAATAATACTAGATCTGACATTATAGACATGTAAACCGGTAGACTGATCGGTGGGCTAGCCTATTGTTTAAAGTGGTATCATGTCACAGAGTAAACTGTAAGCGTAGTGCTATCTCTGGGCCAGTTATATATAATCAGGGTTGTTCTCTATTCGCCTACACCCCAATTCGCCTACAGTCATAAAACAACATTTCATGGTCTGTTGACTGTTGATTACACAATGATAAACTAGTGTCACCCCTATGATCTAAAAGTTGACTCTTCTATATAATCTTCTATAATCAGTGTATCAGAAATGTACAAACAGCCACAAAAGCATGTGTATGTCTTGAACAGTACTTCCACCAACTCTTGTGAACACCATGGATGTTATGTCGAATGATGGAAGTACCAGAGCGCGTACCAGCATAGGCCGTACTTGTTTCTCTGTTGAGAGGAGGTGGTGATCATTTGATGTTTGGTTCTGAAGTTTTTCTTTGCCTATGTTGTTCATATATTGGTTTACCGGTGAAGGTGATTTATGTATCAGCGAGGGAATAATGGATAAATAACGAATTTGATTCAGCAACGCTGTGGACAATACATATATACATTTCAGTCAAGTTGAGAAAATATACCTCAAGATGATAAATAATTCTAAGATGCTTAATATTCAGGGTAAATCCGAAATCCACGAAATAGTGTTGACAAACCGACATAATCGGGGCGAAGTTGTGTTCTTGGACAAGGAACATAACTCTCGACAGTGAACTACAGAAGAAGACACATGGCACCACGTACCTGCGTTAATCAACATGGATGCAATCTGTAGGTGGCCCCTTTCACAAGCTAGATACAATGGGGTTACATTCCCTCTGTCAACCACGTCAAGGTCACTGCCCTCGCAGATGAGGAAGTTGACAACGTCAGCATACCCCAAGCACGTTGCATGATGGAGAGGCTTGTGTCTGTAACGAAAAGGTGTTCGATCACAGGTTTGGTCAGTAATATATTTATGCCATTTTGTCTGAATTGGTTAAATCATCCTATTTCCTGTGTGACGCCGTGATGTAAGGGATCTATACATTCCGGTGGTGGTGAGGGTGGGGTAATTTGTGATATAAAACATCGTGATTTGGTTTCTTTCAATCCTGCAATCAGTTAGTTCCTCATTGGGAGCACAGGTTGCCAAAGACTCCTCAATTAGTAGCTTCCCTTAGAAGCGCCAGAAACCTGTAACCTTGGAAACCAAAAAACACTCCCGATCCTGTTTCTGGGCTTGTCAGCACCGTGGTGTTCGGTCGGCGACTATAGGGCCCGTAAGTAGGTCACGGCACTTCGCGAGACCTTAGTACTCGCGGTGACAAACAACGTACACTTGGTCCGGTCTAGTGAAGTCATATTTAGCGGTCGCGCAATTTGGAACCAGAACTGGTTCTTGGATATACGCTTGTCACCAGAAATCTGGTACCGGATGTAAGCTGGGCCCCGTCTCGCATATCGCAAGTTGGCGCGCGCAAAGGGAGCCGGGAACCGTCTTAATACCGAGAGTAGCGCCTCGCGAGACTTACAGGCCCTATGATCGCTCATACTCCTTTACTTGAAAGAAGGCTTGGCAACATAAACGACCATTAACTGACGAGGTTCACCTGGCGTTATCGGCCTGTTCAAGGTCAGCACCGTGCATGCAGAGAAGAGAGATAAGTTCGAGGTTGTTTGTCTGAATGGCTTCCTTCAAGGGGGAACTACTCCTGCCCCTGAAACATATACATTCAGATGACGTGGTTGCCCATTTCACATCGAGGAAACTAATTTTAAAATACATAGTACATTCCAGTTATCAATAACCATAAATTTTGTTTTTCGCTTCTCAAATGTAAATAACCAAATTCCTGAAAAGAATTAAACGTTTCTGATTCTCAGTGAATGTCATTAATTTGTTCATTTTCGTGTAAGATATATGTTGCTATAAACAATTCTCCTGTTGAATCTTCACATGCCAACTAATGAGAGACAATCGGGTATCAAATGAAAAGTATATCTTCGGTAGACAAATGTATTTGGAACAGCCGGCGGATTAGCACAAAACGTCCCACCGTCCGATCTGGCTGGTTGTGTAGTCGTACCGTGACCGTCATGGAGGCCAGACTCGATGACACGGTCAGGATTAACGGGTGTCTGTATAACTGTGAGATAGCATAAACACTGCCAACTGTGGCGTATGTTCTACCAACAAAATACACACGCCTCACCACCTGCACATGGCCGTTCAACGTATTCACGGAAAGCATACACCTGAAAACTTACTGTTTCATAAAGCGATCATTGCACGCCATATTGACGTCAACACCTGGATGACGTAGTAGGGCCTGTACAGCCGCCATCTTGTTCTCCGCTACAGCTCCCCACAGCGGCGTACAGTTATTATGATCCGGCATATTGATACAAGCCCCGCTTTGGAGCAGATGCTTAACTAGGTCTTCTGCCCCCATCCGACCGGCTAAATGAAGCGGCGTATCTGAAAAATATGCATGAATTGAAAGTCCTTTACTAAATAGAACACCCAAATATAGTGCGCTCCACAAAGCAAGCAAGAAATATGTGATTGGATTACGTTATGGAGTGTTGAAGACCTGTGATTTGCGACGCACTGAACTGTGACTATCGTATGGTTTAATGCCGCAATATTCCATCAATATCATAGCGGAGGAGACCAAACACGGTCTTAACATACATTATGCTTCCATCTTTATGGGTCTTGTTTTATGGCGAACGCTTTAACAACTAGACTACCCCAAGGTACAATGAACCGTACAAACACTTAGTGACTGTTACTGTACGTCTGGTTGCCATGGTTATCAAAGTGTGAGACGTTTACCAACTTGGTAAAACAACAAGTACGGGTATATTGCTGTCAAACATTAGAAGACACAGCACGCTGGACTATCGAATCCTTAGGTGTAAGAAATGACGCAGCTATACTATTGGATATTTGGGAGGTGAAAACGTTCGCGTGTCATGCCGCTTTGGTTCAGCTGGTTCCCTTTTCGCGATCCCGTTGAAATATTACTAAAGTATTTATATGTATTCACTGACAACAGGCCGCCTCGCTAAAACAAGAATAAACGTTTAGGATACCGGAAACCTGGTTTGGAGATAAACACGTAGAGCCCATGTACCTCCTCTCCGGCCATTAACGAATGCTGTCTCACGTCTGTCACTGCTTACCTGTGTAAAATCCAGCAGTGATGTCAGCGCCCCTCTTGATGAAGATTTTGGCTAAATCATACTGGCGGCTTTGTATTGCCGTGTAGAGGAGTGATCTCCGACCTACATAGCAGTTCACCTGTAAACACAAGTGGAAATATATACACATATATATATATGATTTACTCTATACTCTGGACGAGTTTCACAAAATAGTTTATGGCGCCACCGCAGATCTGGGCAGACTGAGATGTTGCTTGAAACAGGTAGTCTTGAACGAGTTACGTCCCTTTGAGTTTCACACGTTAAGTTAATCATTACACATTCAGTGTGAACCATCGGACTAATTCCGGAATGGAAACCACGAAACGTCGTTATGCAAATTAAAATCGTTATCTGTCACTGGTCCGTCAATCGGGCACAAATCGATTCCATCAGACCGCGTTACCGTCAAGTAATAGAAGCATCGTAAAAGTTTTCCCATTGATCAGCTGTCGATTCAGTATGATTGGCAGATATGGGTTTCTTTGACTGATTGTTTTTCTCAGCAGCATTCAGTCTATATATACCATAGTACGATGGGATGTAAGTACCGATGTCCCTGCAAGCCAGGCACGTCACGGCTATTGATGGACAATCAGTGAGATCACGTAATGTCGCCCCTAGCGACTGAGTATCGGAAAACTAAAACACCGCCGACACAGGTGAGGGGTTGAAATCACTTACACCAATCAAATATCAAATGTTGTTCAAGGAACAATTGTCGATACAAAGCGCATATTTCTGAATATAAAATGTCTTAACACACAGTTAACCGGTTTTCATTGCCCTTCGTATCAATAGCAGCGTATTAATGATATTAATAATAATAATGCTATTTTTGCGCCTAGAACCCAACACGATTCTGCTCTCTGGCGTTACATTATTACCCTGACGGAATTGTACTTTCAAAGCTGCTACTAAGCGCTAAGCGCGACCGTATAGTCCGTACATCCGCTTCTCAGGTACCCATTTGAACAGCTGGGTGGACTGAGTGCAATGTGGACGAAGTGCCTTGCCCAGGGACACAACACAGTATGAGACCCAGGTCACAAATTTGGGTGTGTCCACCGGGATTCGAACCCGGGCCTTTGGCGTAAGAGGCCAGCATGCTAACCACTAAACCACCGTGCTCCACATATTACGTGGGAGCTTTGTATTTATATATGATAAACGTACATACTGTACAATTATAGCGTAATTATAACACAATAATAACATAACTGTAATGCTCAAACCTCGCATCCTTTCAAAACTGACAGCATTATTTAGATGACAAAAATACAAAAATACCTGCAGCCACTTGTTGGTCAGATGCTCACCTGGCCATCACTGACAGACACAACGCTTGGCCAGAGGTCACTATGAATTTATAACCATCCTCAACAATAGCACTAGCTAGCATGTCCGACACACTCGGCTGACCGAGCGACAACCACCTGGCCGTGTCAGTGAAAAGATCGATCTTAAGTTAGTTACAATGAGACTGAAGGTTCACCCATGGCGCCATTAGACACAGTATTCACTGCACGGCCATCAGCAGGCGGTTAGCTGGGTCAAGGAACGGCCAGGTAACGGCAGACTGACCAAGCACTCAAAAGGTAATCTGCGACCTGGACAGCGTGACCGCCTGTGTTGGGGTCATGATTAAATTTGAGGTATCTTTATGTTGGTATGTATAGCCTCATGAATAGGTAGTAAGGGTGTGTTCGCCAAAAGGATACCCTCCAGGGTATATTGGTGGTGTTATATAACTTTAGTTAACCTGTGCTTCTATAAAGCTGGATATGATTAATTACAATGACACTTTTTAAACACGTTGATAACATTCCGAATAATTTCCCTCTACAAGTAGAAATGGAAGAATGTTCAACATTAAATTTTAAAGTTCTTAGAAAATAAAAAGAGTATTGGGTGGATCCTGGCACGTCAAGCCATATGTGGGTGGGGAGTTTCCTGTGGCATGGTACGCCTCAAACAATACCACTACATGTACATGCATTCACTACCGATCATACTCACACGCGTAAGTCATACTGAGTGAGTGAGTTTTATCACAATGTTAGGAATATCCATAGCAGAGGTGAGATGAAGGTGAATGGGGTTTAACGTCGTACTTGTTTAACGTCGCACGCGTGTGTATGTGTGGCTGCTTGTACTAGCCCAGACTGAAGCTGGTTTTATACTGACTGACTAACTGAGATACCATGCCGTTGTTAAACATGAATACCCCACTCAGGCGCATTATACTGACTCCGAGCAGACCAGTCCTTGTGGTACCCATTAATGCCGAGCGCCAGGCAGGGACCAACAAGTCAATTGGTATGACGCGGCCGGGGATCGAACCCGCGACCTTCCGCTCTCCGGGCGGACGCTCTAACCACTACATCACGGAGACGGTCCCACAATAGAGGACAACAGATAGGTCTCACACCGTGGGGATCGATCCCGGTCCCATGGCGTGAAAGGTCAAACCGCCACCTTGAAATTCAAATTATATTTCCATGATAGTGATGACCATTTGGTCAAGTATACACTATACAGAAATATGCATGCACGTACTCTCGTCGTCATGCAAAGTTGACCCGGTGGTACCACGATAACCATGTAAGCTCCATACAGCGATACATATTTGACTGAACACTTTGTGCCTAACATTTCCAATTAATTTATACAAACATTCCCCACTTTAAGAGAGTGTGTTAACAGCATAACTGCAAACCATTTGGAACTATATAATGAAAATATTGTTTATCATTCAGGCGTGTCATCCTACCTAAGTACACTTAGATATTAACATGGATTATATCAAAGATGGGAGATTAACGTTGTGTAATACAATAACAATGGTTTCCGAGCTTCCACTTGCCACTTTCACGTGCGTGTGTGTGCGTGCGTGCGTGCGAGCGAGCGTGTGTGTGTGTGATCGTATTTTCCGCGATTCTGATTGGTTATTGGGCAATCGAAATTAAATGGTAATTTTCTAATCCTGCAGCAAGTCAGAGAGAGACGGGACTACTGAGCAGAGGTGACCTTTACCTTGGCAAGGGTGGGTTAAGCTGATACTGGAACATTTACTGTACAAGCAGGGGCGTGCGACTTCGCTTGAATTTTGTACACATAATGCCGGACAGACAGGAATATGAAACACGACAACAACACCCGTAGGTACAGTCTAGGGTGGTGGAGGTACAGTCTAGGGTGGTGTAGGTACAGTCTACTAAATGTACTTACAGTCTAATGTGGTGTAGGTACAGTCCACGGTGGTATAGGTACAATCTAGGGTGGTGTAGGTGCAATCTAGGGTGGTGTAGGTACAGTCTAGGGTGGTGTAAGTACAGTCTAGTGTGGTGAAGGTACAGTATATTGAAGTGTAGGTACAGTTTAGGGTGGTGTAGGTACAGTATAGCATGGTGTAGGTACAGTTTAGTGTGGTGAAGGTACAGTATAGTGTGGAGAAGGTACAGTATATTGTGGTGTAGGTACAGTATAGTGTGGTGTAGGTACAGTCTAGGGGGTGTAGGTACAGTCTAGCATGGTGTAGGTACAGTCTAGCAGGGTGTAGGTACAGTCTAGCATGGTGTAGGCACAGTCTAGGGTGATGTAGGTACAGTCTAGCGTGGTGTAGGTACAGTCTAGGGGGATGTAGCTACAGTCTTGGGCGATGTAGGTACAGTCTAGCACAGAGTAGGTACAGTCTAGCATCGTGTAGGTACAGTCTAGTGTGGTGTAGGTACAGTATAGTGTGGTGTAGGTACAGTATAGTGTGGTGTAGGTACAGTATAGTGTGGTGTAGGTACAGTATAGTGTGGTGACGGCACATTATAACATGGTGTAGGTACAGTATAGTGTGGTGTAGGTACAGTCTAGGGTGGTGTAGGTACAGTATAGTGTGGTGTAGGTACAGTATAGTGTGGTGTAGGTACAGTATATTGTGGTGTAGGTACAGTATAGTGTGGTGTAGGTACAGTATAGTGTGGTGTAGGTACAGTCTAGGGTGGTGTAGGTACAGTATATTGTGGTGTAGGTACAGTATATTGTGGCGTAGGTACAGTCTAGTGTGGTGTAGGTACAGTCTACTATGTACGTATACAGTGAACCCCCTCCGTTCCTCGCTCCCCACAAAGTTTCCATACACGTCCTGTATCATTGGTGTAATGGTTAGTTAGTTAGCGTCTCTCAGTCTATTCCACCCTTACAGCCTTTAGGCACCGAGTTTTCGAAGAACAAACTCATTGAAAATCTGCACTCAGCACACATTAACTGGAAATTCACACAACTCATTAGTTAATATATTATACCTCCATGTTTATATATCATACCTCCATGTTTATATATCATACCTCCATGTTTATATCATACCTCCATGTTTATATATCATACCTCCATGTTTATATATCATACCTCCATGTTTATATATCATACCTCCATGTTTATATATCATACCTCCATGTTTATATATCATACCTCTATGTTTATATATCATACCTCCATGTTGAGATACAAAGTCAACACGACATACGATAACCTACTATACAAATGTCAGCAATTTATGTAATTGTTTTGTGTTTCCGTGGTCTTGTCGGGGAACCAATGAAAGCTCATACAGGAAAGTCAGAATGAATATTGTATTGACAGAATTAGTACATGCAAACTTCTGGTATATGCCGTGTACGTGGTTTGGAATCCCTTGCGTGGAGCAGATACATGCACCCTGGCCTTTAACATTCAATGCATGCATATTAACGTTCAAAATTACAGCCCTTCGTGAACGTGTGGCATTTACTCTCATTTTCCGGCAAGTCGCTGTAATAGGTGGGTAGACACGCTGAGTGTATCGGATATATCGAGCTTATATTTCAGTAAACAACCCTATTATAGTCGACAACCATCGCCCACAGCTGTAACAGTGTGCTGACATAGATATCTGTATGTTCAAGTATGGTTTACCCCAAACAAGGGAGAAGTCTACATTAGTAAATCGATCGGTTTGAAATTCTTTGAACAGTTGATATTGGATCGTATTATGTGTAAATATAAGAATTGATCTTCAGCAACCCATGCTTGTCGAGGGGAGAAAGGGGATCTTGATGATCCGGC